TAACACAGGCTATTTTTCAAAATTCATCGTCCGTGGGATTTGAACTCTAGACCTGCCACTTGGAGAGGGTGATGACTGTCAAATCTGTAATTATGATCGTTTGTATAATTAAAATTATAATAAATCGTTATAATCGATTAATGTCCACATGTGAAAATTAAAACAATATAAATTAAGAGTACTGTGTATAAATAGTTAGTAATTCAGTAACTACTATAATGATGAAAATTATAATAATTCCAATACAAACTAACTTATCTTTAAACATATATTGTAATTACCAAAATAACAAGTAAGTTCTGTAATAGAAGTTTTCAGTAACCTATGATAAAAACCAACAAATCTTAACCATGTATTGTAATTACCAGAATATCAAGTTTTCTAACAGATTTTGCCTACAGTAACTTGCAATAAATCATACTAATTCTAATACAAGCTAACTCATCTTTACTTAAATAGCTAGTAAATCTTATTATAGAAATTTTTCAATAATATGAATAAAATTATATTAATACTAATATGAATATCAAAATAGTAAGTAAGTTCTGTAACAATACTATTTACAACAACTCACAAAGAAATTATGACAATTTTATTACAAATTAACTCGAAGTTAACCACATATTATGGTCATTAGAATAGCGAGTAAGTTCTAAGAATTTTTACAATAACTCATAATAGAAAACATAATAATTCAAATGCAAACTCAACTAGTTTAACTATATTGTAGTTATTAGAATAGTGAGTAACTTTTAATATAAGTTTTTCAGTAGCTCATGACAGAGATCACATTAGTCCAATGCAAACTAAATACCATATACACATTGTAATTACTAGAATTGCAAGTTAAGATCTGTAGCAGAATCGTTTATAGTAAATCATGAGGCAAACCCAGTTTATTTATATTATATTCCTTATTTAAAAGAGAAGGGAGAGTAAAGGAAGCTATAGAATTAAATTGGTCATTGTATTGGTCACATGATTTTGATCAAAGATTCTTATTAGTCAACATATTAAAAAAATTAAAACTTTCAATTTTTACTTTACTGATATAGCTGGGATATGATAACCGATTATATAAGTTTGTATGGTCTAAAATTAAGTGAATTCCAAATTATTTTATTAAGTATGTTGTTTTGAAATTCAAGTTGCTTTAGAATAATATTTATTCATAACAATAACTCATCAGCAAATTAATTTATTAAAAGTATTACATATAAGTGTTTTTATAATTATGTTACTAAGATAACAACTACTACTGCATAGTACTTTTATTTTTTTATATTTACAATAATTTTTGTTATACAAATTTTTTAATTGTATTTAATATTGCCTATTTGTGAAGATGATTGTATAAACAATGCCTTTTGGATACCTATGAGTGTTGAGGAAATATTATCTAATTCAGAAGCTTGTCAGAATCTAAAGGAAGAAGTTTATTAATATTATAGTTAATATTGTCTAAATGTATACTATTGGAAAAGGCAAAAAAAATCAATTTTATGTATTTATATAGTATCAACCAATTAAATACCAGAAAATCAACTGTCTAAATACATATTACTAATAAATTTCTTTAAAAAATTATGCATTTAGACAGTATACAGTATGCATTTAGATAGTATTTACTATATATATAACTTTAATAATGCTCGATTTATATCCAAGTTTATATGTGTTATTTTTTGATATTTTACAAATTTTGCATGAGTATTTTTTGATCAGTATGTTTTTCTATTAATTTTAGGAATTTTAAAATGCATTAAATTATCAATCTTGTATTTGTTGTTAAATTTTTTGTTACATTTGTTAAGTTGTGATTTCATATCAGTATAATATTATTCAAGAAATATTGTAGTAATACTTCAATAAATTTTATAAACTAATGTTTTTTAAATATTGTTTTTATATTTAGATTTAGATTTAGAACTATGTTTATTTAAAAAAAACTATAAAATAAAAATAAATTTAACTTATACTATAAGGGAGATAGATATATTGTAGACAGGAGAAGATATTGTGATCAAGTAAAAATATTTTGCAATCATTTAATTCTGATTATTAGATTACAAGATATTCTTACTTAAGTACAATATCTTCTCCTGTTTACAATACCTCATCTCCTTATATAAAATTAAATAATATGCAATTACCTGAGTATTGGTATCTATAGTAGTAGTTATTAATACAAAAAGTTTATATCTTTTATTTGGATAAATATTAGAAACATTTTTAGATAACCTTTTACTAGCAGTTCTATCTTCAGGTAAACTTCTATATAGTGATACAAATCAATAAAAATTCTCTAATCGATTAGTTGGTAGATTATTCTACCTGATTAATTAAATAATCGATTTTTATTTAACTAATCAATTAGTTGATTAATCGATTAATCGATTAGTTAACTATTTGATTAATCAATTAGTTAACCAATTAATTAATTGATCAGTTAAATACAAAATAATTAACATACAACTCTTCCTGACAATCATTTTTTTTCTACAAAAATCCAAAATTCTTAAAAAATACAAGTGCTTGTAAAGGTTGAAACAGTCTGGGAAGTAGTTTTTAAGCCCCATAACTTGGCAGTTGTTATTTAGAAGTAGTTCTTATACACTACCTGCTAACTTCTTCAGAGTTTATTACTTACCATAAGGGCCAAGCACTTGTTGTTCAGAAATAGTTTTTATACACTATTTGCCGACAAGCCCAGAGTTTATCACTTACCTGAAAAAATAAAGAGAGTACTAGCGTCTTTTTATGGATTCAGTGTGTTGAGTAAAGAAAATACACACTCTTTTATTAAACAAAACAAAGTAGTTTTGTCTCTTTTCTC